GGAAATGTCGAAGGCACGTGTGGTCAGATATGGGGGCACGTTAAAGAACCCCAGGCGGCCGAAATTTCCGTAGCCCTCCACAACGGCGTCTCTCATAAACATACGGTGGTTTTGGGGCGTTAAACCACACATATCAATCAAATCAATCGCTCCTTTCACTCTTTCTTGGCTATGGGCACTTGTGTTGGTCTCCAGAAGCTTACGATGGAACTCGCTCCACGACGTCAGGTGCTCCTTGCGAATCTGGTACCACGTAATGGCGCCATCCTCCAGCTAGAAGTAGACATGTCCTAGTTTTTCTGCGTCCCGTTGATTTAAGGTGGCTACGCATTCGAAACTGCCCCTTCGGTCTTCGACGTCTTCCCGTACCGTGCCATGAAACGTCATCGGAACCTTGGGGTTTCCAACGTATTCCACTTCAGCATCGCGGTTCCCGTGTCGGTTGAAGCTGTTTCAACTGAAATGCTGGTCACACCTATCGAAGTGATGGGTTTGTGTTGTTGACTTAGGGAGGCATTCCCCTGATTATGTGGCTGGCCCCAAGCACGGAGGTGTTAACTGGAACTGGACTCGTAGGGCGACTCCCTGGGGGGGGGGGGGGGTCTGCAGTACCCGTGACACTTCCGGCAGTTTGTCACAAGACTTGAGAAGTCAGGGGTCTTTTAACTAACCAAGATGTAGTGAGCTCTCGAAAATCGCGTCCATACACGGCTGGCTCTTGAGCGAAGAAGAAGCACGCGATATTTAATTTTTAGGGTGAGAGTCGCTCTTACGTGCAGGTGGCAATATGATTATCAGAAACGCCGCAGTGGGAGGTTCCGGAAATGTAGGCCACCAAAGGTTCTTTGACGTGCACCATAAATTTAGGCAAACGGGCGTCAAGCATTCTTGCGTCCATTACTTGAAAATGTGGCCGCCGTAGTCGGCACTCAATCGCGCGAACTGCGGGTCAGTGGTCGAGTGCCTTGTTCATTAGACCACCGTGGAGGGTGAACCTCCGAATGCAAGTTAACGCCGCTATGAGGTCATGACGGTGAGTTTAAACACATGTTTATATATATATATATATATATATATATATATATATATATATATATATATATATATATATATATATATATATATATATATATATATATATATATATATATATATATATTTATATATATATATATATTTATATATATGTATATATATATATAGGTAGGCATGGTGGTCGATTGGCCGTAGCGTTGCATATAGTCCAGTAGATCCTCCGTGAGCGGTCACAGCGTGGTTTATTTCGACGTTTCGGTCTAGAGTGTGGGCTTCATCACGATTAAAGGTACAGTTTGTTGGTGCTCAGCTTTATACAATCTCAAATCAGAGGAAAAAAAAGAGGAAAAAGACGGAAAAAAAGAAAAAAAAAACAAAGAAAAGGAAAAGAAGAGAAAAAGGAAAAAAGAAAAAAAGAGACAAAGAATATGAGTTGGACTCCCCTCGGGCATCCCCCTTCCACTCTTCACTCCACTTTCCCCTTCATCTATCTCCCCTTTCTCCCCTTCACCTTTCTGATGTCAGTGGTCTGTGTATTCTTCCTTTCACGAACGCATTCTTCCCGACCAGACGGCGCCTCTTGGCACTGGTGGTTCGGTGTGGGGCAAAAAAGAGCTTTTTTAGGAAGTTCTAAGCCTTCAACTACTCGGCGCCCCGTCAACATTTCGTCGTAGAAAGAGGGGTGCCGCGTACTGCGGCAGAGGCTGGTAAGCGGGCGCATTGCGAATTCTTTGCCCGCTTCTGGATTACGCGTGAAGTAGGGGCCTCCCGGATGTGCACAGGGTTGCTCTTGGGCATGTCATGCATGGCAATTTTGATTCGGTAGTAAAATAAAACAGAAAACAAACGACAGCTGCACTTAGGAAGAGTAGTTACACTTGAAATTGTTTTGAGTTGTCCAGTGCCCTTCGCAGCTGCAGTGCCGTGAACTCCGTTACTATTTTGATTATTGCCGTTATTGTTTTCTAATGCTTTAATTGCAGCAAGTGTACCAGGATTCTCATTTATTCCACTTACAAGGGTGTTAAATCGGTGGATAAGGTATGACTCTCATTGTTCACGTTCTCGATTTGATATAAATCCCGTCTCTAAGAGAGTTACTGATAGTTTGTCGAATGCATGGTCGGGAAGATTGAGATGTTTTCATAGAAGTAGACTTGGGGCTGATTTCGCATGGGCTCTGTGATTATTGAAGCGAATCGTAATGGTGTTTCTGTTTGGCAAGAAAACTTTTGAAAAGTTGTGTCGCGTCGCCACTTGACGGCACATGACAAAGGACGTCATAGCATACGTTCGCACTTGCCCTACATGCCAGACTGCAAAACCAAGCGGAGGAAATCAACGAGCCTCAAGAAATTTATAGAAAGCCGGTACACATGGGAAATAGTTGCCTGTAGTGTAATAGGCCCGTACCCCAGATCAACTAAGGAGTGCCGGCACTTGTTAATAGTCACTGAAATTTTTTTCGAAATGAGTGGAGCTGCACGAATTGCTCCGGCTAGATTCAAAAGTAACTTGGGATTGTCCGTCGCAGATATTCACTCACTTTGGTTTTACAATGCCGCTAATAACAAATATTGCCATATATTTCACAGGCAGAATATTTGCGGACACTTTCAAAGCTCTTGGTGTATGCCACAAAAGAACAACACCTTACCACCCTCAGGCCAACATTACTCAGCGCGTCAACAGAAACCTTAAAACATTGTGGGTGGCTTTCACTGACCGCTACAGGGACTGGGATGCCCGCGTACAGAAAATAGCATTGGCCACGCGAACAGTGAATCGTTCCACTGGCTTTACTCCGTCAGTCATTCTATTAGGCCACGAGCTAAATTTATCCATCGAACATGCCCCCATCCTTGACTCCGAATCACCGCACTGCAACTACGTGACGGTGGCGCAAACTCATACGAGTTACTGGAGCGAAACATTGTGGGAAGCCATGTAGAGCTAGTAAACTGCCCGCCTGGAACATTGCAATCGATATAACGAGAGAAGGTGACCTCTAGAGTTCGAGGTTGGTGATTTGGTGCTCCACCGCACGCATCTACTCAGTGATGCAGCAAAAAGGTTTGAAACCTTTATAGCACCACGATGAAATGGTTAGTACGTTATTGCAAAGTAAACTTCTAGGTTGGCGTACCTAAGTTGGCGTACCTTCTAGGATGTGTGTGTGTGTGTGTGTGTGTGTGTGTGTGTGTGTGTGTGTGTGTGTGTGTGTGTGTGTGTGTGTGTGTGTGTGTGTGTGGGAGGAGGGAGGTGTGTCGGGCTGATGTGCCCTTATCTGCAGCACGCACGGTGGAAGCAGGGTGAGGAGAACACACATACATTGACCATGCGTGTGACAATCGTCAACGTCGAAAAAAGTCACATGGGGTGGAACAATGTCTAGCTAATTAGAAGGGGTGTGAGAACAACGCAGAGGTTTTTTTTTTTTTTGAAATGCGTGGTGATGAGATGCAAGGACGGTCGCGCTAGGCGCGAAGTTTTTCCTCCGTGAGTGCTGCAGAGCAAAGGCGACGCTGGTTTTAGGTGTCAGGTAAGGCAAGTAGATGGCTCGCATTCCACTGCGAGTTGCGTGTGAGCTTGTTTTCTAGCCAATATGTTTCGCACTGGTTTTCCTGTTGTTATATTTCCCGCCTTATGTTTTATTGACTGCCAGTCTGCAGGGATTGTTCATTGCAGGCTTTTATACTCCTGCACGCGTTATTGCTATGTTGTGCCGGTCCGGAAAGCTGGTTGTGATTCCTTTTAGTAATGAATTAAAAGCTGCTCTTATTCCTAGCGTTGCTGGCTCGTGTCTTGTTAGTCGTGACTCACTAACCCACCTGTTCGGAGGTGGAGCCTTCAACTCTGAGACATGAGAGCAGCGGAGAAGCAGTTTTGGAGCATTTTTGACGCTTTCAATAGACGCAATGAACAAGAAAATTTTGCTGGCAGTTCAAAAAAGTGCGCCTTTTGCCAAGAAGGGCCTCTTACTCATCTAGCCAAGCCACTGTCATTCCACTCTGGAAACGAAGAACGGCGCCAAAAAAATACCAAACAGGACCTAATCCCACTAAATATTAGTATCTTGTTTTTTCGCTGAAATTCAGACTACTTTTGCATGGCCGATCGAAACTCAAATGAAATGTTCCTATGTATAAGAGCGAAATCAACATATTACTTTTGATTGGCGATGATAGAAGGATATGGCAGATTATAGCGTCAGTATAGGTGTGACGTTTTCGCTGACCAAAGCACACTGGTTAAAACCTGTTGCAGTAGGCCTGACCATAATATCAGCTTCAAAAAACTGTGTTGTTTGTATCTTTTGAAGTGGAGTTGGATCTTTTCGAGAAATAACGAACATCAAGTGTAAGGCAGCACCTTTTCTATGCTTAGAGGTATGCGTTTTGAGCCTCAGTACACAATAGTTAACCATCGAGTAAGTTGGAGGGTGTTTTATTTTATGATTTATGGGGCAGCATTTTTCTATGTACGTGAATGGAAATACGTGATTAAGAATTACCGTAGCTGTGGCATTGCACGTACGCGTCTGATTCAGCTACGGGCGGCGCGGGGTTCGATCCCCAGTGCCGGCCGGCCACCCACCGGTAGCTAAACAGGGTACAGGCGGGCTTCGAGGGGCTGTGACGCGTCGCCCCAGTGGTGAAGCTTACTCTGCCTGGATACTCCCAACACGCTGCGTGGGGACCCCGGTGATTAAGAATTGTTGAATTGCTGAGTAAAAAACCCTATAATATTTTCATTCACGTGATTTCGCAACCTTTTTCGAGTCCAAGAAAGAGAAGATTATTCAAATTTATTGCTCTTTATTAACCTTGCTCTGGCTAATCGTGGCCCAGCAAGTACCAGCCAAGCTGTTTTACGTTTGCAATGGTTCACGCTGTCATCACGCTTTCCGTCAACACAGTCGCATTTGCAACATTGAACACAATGTAGCCCATATGTCATCTTACCTCCTCTACCAGTGGTGCAGGTGAACCAGAACCAAGCCAAGCAGACAGACCAGAGAATTCTGTCGATGAAGGCAACCAACATCCGCTTAGCCTCACTGGCCATTACTTCATTGCCGTTCCACTTGAGCTTCATGAACACGCAACTCAGTCCACAGGACAGTGCTATGCACCACAAGAAAATCTGCATAATCTGCGTATACAAACCAAACAGAAATTACGTAGGTGAGCGTGTACAACACAGAAAACTCATGTCTAAATGCCATTGTGTTAATTAAAGCATGTAATTTATTTGCACGGTTACAAAACATGCATTTTCACCACAGTTTCGATACAGACATGTTGTAAACACCTTTTCATTTAAGGCTTTGGATACACAGACTGGACATTTCATTTTTATTCATTTATTTATTATAAGCGAAACAACCTTTTGACTATCCTATTAACGCTGTCCATGCGTGTCTCAATGCCAACGCCCCGCACCATGCTTCCCTCGCTGGAAGTGTTCGGTAGGTGCGAAGTAGGCCACGCCTTCCTTCGCAGTGCGCGGTGACGTTACTCTCTCCCGCACCTGCCATGCTCTCGCCGCGTGTCACCTCTCTCTCTCTCTCTCTCCACCCTCTACACCACTCACAACCTTCGAGCGCACAGCGAGTGAACACTCTTTCGGCTCATTTGATAAAGAGGACGCCGGAAAGCGAAGCTCCTTCGCCGGCTGAAGGATGCGCCTAAGGGAATTGGTCTAACCCCGTCGTCGCCGGCATTGTGAGAGTTAGCAGAGCCGATCGCATTCGCGAATGGCGATGTCGCGCCTGCAACACCGACAAGGCGAGAGCCAGGAAAGCCGAACCCAAGCTTCGGCAGTGGAAGACCAGCGACATCGATGAGGTGCGAGTTAAGCAAGCTGATCGCGTTCGAGAATTGAGACCACACTCGGGTAACACCGACGAGTCGCAAGCCAAGAAAGCCAAGCAAAAGCACCGACAGTGGAAGGCCAACGCCAGCGATTTCTCAACGTCCCCGTCGTCAGCAACGTCTCGATAGCGCCATGCGTCCTCGGCTGAAGAGCCCAAACGCAAGCGCCGGGCCCAGCCAGCCGATCCGAAGGCGACCTGGAAGAACAATCTGGAACCACTCAATGACGCTTCTGCTCCGACTGCGTTGCCGTGCGCGTCAATGACGATGCGGTCATCAGCCTGTACCTCACTCCCAACCTGCCGAAGGAACAGGTTCAACGATGTCTGAGCGAAACGCTAACTGATTAAGGTCATCAGGTGGGTTGATGAGGTGGGTCAACGCTCGCCTTTTATAGTCGTGGGAGACTTCAACATTGACGTCAACGGAAGAGGAATAGAATGGCTTGTCGATAGCGTGCGTGACGTGCACTCGCTAAAGTATGTGTAGGTGAAACGGAAACTACCCACCACGGTAAGGAGAACATGCGTCGATCCGGTGTGTGCGAACTTCGACGTCGAATGTCGATTGTCTGAAATCACCTCTCAATAACCAATCACAAGGCCGTGGCAGTCAAAGCGAAACGTGTGCCAGCTCCGGGCCTGCGCCCGTGTGCACTCTGAAGAAACGACAGGACCTATGCCAGCCTTCATTTCAAACAAATCTTCCAGTGCTAACCGCAGCATCCGTGCTACCGCCATTCAACCCATGACGCCAGCCGGGCGCAATGCTGCTGCATTGTATCCAATCAGGGTTCCCTTTCAAAAGATGTCGTGAACTTTTTTATGGTGCGTAACGATTTAAAACTTCCCGCGACAACGATCTTCAAATGCCACCACCGCTTATGTAGTGGTCGGCTTAGATGCGGACTTTTCGTTTTAGTTACGTCTTCATCAGGCGTGTTTGATAAAAATAGTATGTGATAAGGACCAAAGAGTGTGTACAGCGTGATATGATAAATTGCTCCAGGTATTCTTAGGGAGTAGGTTTACATTAGTGATACTGGACCTTTTGTGTAACGAGTTTAATTATGCGAAAAAATACAACAAATAAAAACAAGAAGGCTGGCGTAGCTTCCACTCATGGCGCAATGAATAAAGGATAGCGGAGCTGAACAGTTTCTAGCTGATCCTGGCCATACCAAATGATGCTAAGTAATGCCAAGCGACGCTATGTGATTATACAAAGTAATGCCAAGTGATGCCTATGTCCAGTGGAGCCCTGGACAGTCGCCTCTTGCCGTTTCAGCCGGTAAAACTAAGTTGCGAACGGCTGAAAAATAGCTTGAGAGCAGACGAAGCAGATGCTACGACATGGTGGCGTCTTATTCATCTCGCTCGTCATTATTCTGGGTAAAGGCTTTCTCATCGAGAGAGCGAACATTCTTCGGTATCCTCATGTCTGCGTTTGGTGTACCGACACCACGCGTCACCTTTACACAATGCAAAAAAGTTCATACGCAGTTGGCCATCAATGATCAATTCTTCGTATTTATTCTATTCTGCCATAATACCCTTCAACAACATTTATATTCTAAAATCGCTGCCCTTGAACCGTTCAGCTCAATGTCTAAACCATTATACCAAAAAAGTTTCCTAAAATTAACTAGAGGTGGCTCTGGCGCTGCGATTGTTCGGTGACCATGGGAATTATGCGTATGGCATGGATTTGCCTGGTCTTCGTGCTTTCGGGTGGCGAATCGTACTTGTGGCTTGGTTGATTGCTGTTTTTGGTTTTATTTTGAATGAAAAAACAAACCGTTTCAAAATTCGTGAACTGATTTGAAATGGTGATTCTGAAGGTGAACGTGATGAAGCGTAACTGGTGAACTTTGCTGGTTGTTGTTTTGGGACAAAAAAGCTTCAAGGGGCCCTAAAACACATTTTGAGTTACCATGAAATAAATCTACCAGAAAGCTTGCTGCCTCAAAAATGCATCGCCGCCAAAATTTCAAGAATCCGTCCAGTACAAGCGGAGATAGAAAGATTTGTCACACCCTGCAATCGCATTCTTTCTTCTCTCGTCCCGACGAAAGCACTGAAAGCTAAGCAGAGAGGTATGGCAGGGGCTAACAAAATAAGTCACGCGCGTCTCATGACATTGAGCACTTTCTACTTTTTTTCTTTGAACACGCAGCTTTTTCAGTGTGATCGTGCACGCACGCGTGGACAAGTGACGGCATCCCATCGTGGTCTCTGTAACTACTGAGCCCGCCATGTTCAAATCAGCCATTGGCTGATAGATGGGTATTTTACGAGTGATTTTGGGGCGTCTTTCGTCATTAGTCGAGGGAAGAGAAAGCAGTTTTAAACTGACTGTGATAATTTATTGTGAATTCCAGGCCACGTGCTGCACTACAACATTTAGACCGCATGTTCTCGGGAGCCTCTACTATACCGATCGGCGTTGTTTTCTGACCACGTTCCAAAGTCTTGCAGGGTCCTTTTAAAGCCGCCCGTAGCTAGAAGGAGCGTAAAGGACTCTTCAAAACATGACGCCCATTTACGGACAGAAAAGCGGACATGTAGTCTAGAAAAATAAACACACTCTATCTCTTCGCGAACATCATGGATAAAGCACACACTTAACAACCAAAGACTTCACGACTTCATGAATATTATAGATACGGCACACTTCTATCAATGATGTTTCCCTGAATAGTGGAAAAAACAAGTGTCTCCTCCGTGAAAAAAAAAAAAGAAACTTTGGCAAAAGTAATCGCTTGCAAATTTAGGTGACCTCCAGAAAATTATATTAATATGGCCGTCACATACCACTACCGCACTTATTTCGACGACGAGTTATGCACGGCTTTTATTCTACAAAACTGTATTAGGGGCGAAGCTCCTTATAGCGGCACCCGTTCGTCCCGCGTAGTATGTAACCAGTCTTACGTTTTGACCTGCAAACATTTTGACCTCCAAGGTGGTGCCGGTGAGAGATTCCTTCTGTGCGTTGTTGAACAACAAAAAATAGTGCTCAATGTACGTGCCAATAGCTGATACTGGGGTATGAGAGACAGGAGCATTCGGCTTTTAGTTAACGTGCACGCTGCGATCCCCATTAGCAGCCATTGCATGTACATTGAGCACTATCTGAAGGGAAAGGGTTGCTACGTTATACCCGCTGGGTGTAACCACCTTAGTTTTAGAAAGGTTTAGCGAGCGTTGAGCCGCAGTGCCATGAATAAAAGGAACTAGTATATACCATGAATGAACTCGAGGTAGTTAAAGGTGGGAAGTAGGTACGAAGTGCAAGCCTTAAAAAAGTAAAAGCCGAATTCTCCTGTCTCTCATTTCCCATGCAGCCATTGGCATGTACATTGAGCTCTATCTCCCAGGAAAAGGTTGCTACGTTATACTCGCTGGGCGTAACCTCCTTGGTTTTAGAAAGATTTAGCGAGTGTTGGGCCGCAGTGCCATGAATACAGTGAACTAGTATATACCATGAACTCGAGGTGGTTAAAGGTGGGAAGTAGACCTGAAGCGCAAGCTGTTAGAAAGTGTGCGTGTGCCACCTCTCGTTTAGTCCTTGGAATGTCCGCTGCATGGCGGTGTTTCTATATAAGGAATATATGATGAAAAGATGCGAGATGGTGGTACTTGGAGTGTTGAATAGATGGACGAACGGACACACAGACAGATGCATGAATGGACGCATGAACGGACGCAGGGGCGGATGCATGGACGAACGCAGAAAAGGACGCACGCACGGACGGGCGGATGGATGCATGGACGGTCGCACAGACGGAAGGAAGCAAGAACGAATGAACGGACGAATGCTTCGCCCCACTCTCCATCATTCACTCCGTGGATATGCTGCCAATTTTTTTTTCCCCAAACAGTGGTTTAGGCAGGCATAGCGGTAAGAGAAACCATTCGACCACGATAGGCGTAACACCATTGTCACTCATCCGTCAGCAGTTACTACTCTAACCACTACCCTGACTTCGGACTGCCCTCCTTAACGGCTAAACTAAACGTCAACGACGCACGCTCGAAACGGGACCCAGCTGGGGCTGCTTTTTTAATCTTGACTACATCTTCTAGGTGAATGCACAACTTCTCATTTATTCGCCGTTTGGCTTGCAGCTCGTACCCTAATGATCTGTGTCATGTAGTACCTACGCAATATCTCAGATTAGGGCACTTCTAGTTAAGTCGAGGCCACGAAACGCAGTGCTCCTTTGTCGATGTTACGTACAAGCTTTGATCTCAGCGCCACGTGGGGGTGATTCGA